TAGGCTATTCTAACTGTAAAAAAAGATCTTGGTTTCTCAACTTAAGAACTAAACGAGTATACATATCTCGACATGTCATCTTTGATGAGCAGTTTTTTCTAGCTCATGAACTAGCCAACCACACCACATCTCTAAGTACGACTTTTATTATAAGTAACCCTATGATAATTTTTATTTCAGTTATATCTTGTACTTTATTATCTAACATTTTTGCAGCTGTGGCTTTTCAAACTAATCCTTCTTTCCCCTTAATTGAAATTTTAAATCTTGCGACTTCAAACTCTGCCCACTTCTCCTCAGCTACTGCATCCAATTATAGTTTTTATCCCTTTTCCATTTTAAATTCTAAAAATCCCACTAACGTAGATATTGACACTTCATCAATATCTTTTTCTTCATTTTTTCCCATAAAACTCCAATAATACCTCCCCTAATCCCATTGTCCAGCCAACATTCACTCATATTCAAACTTGTTCAAGGACAGGTCACTCTTGCCCCAAATCTTTTCTTGAATATAAATTATTTTACAATACCTAACATCCTTTATGAGCTTTATCTGCAGTCGTCAACATTTCTGAACAACATCCTACATTCAAGCAGTTTCAAATCCAGAATGACGTGTTGCCATGAGAAGGGAATTTGATGCTTTAATGGTCCTTCTGTCCTTGCCCGCTTGATAAACATACTGTCAGGAATAATTAGGTATATAAAGTTAAGAGAAGACCATATGGTAGTATTGAATGTTTTAAGGCTAGACTTGTGGCCAAAGGCTATGCTCAAAGTAGTGGTGGACTACCATAAAATTCCCCTCGTGATTAAGTCAACTACTATTTGTCTTATTTTGAAAATTGTAATTCATTTTCACTGGCCTGTCCGACAATTAGATGTGTCGAATACATTTCTCCGTGGGTTTTTAGAGGAAGAAGTTTTCATGAAACAACTGAAAGGGTTTGTTGATGACACCAAATCATATTATGTTTGCAAACTACACAAGTCTCTTTATAGTCTCAAACAAGCCCTAAGAGCCTGGTTTCATAGGTTGTTACAATAGCTTTTTAAGCTTGGTTTTCAATAATCCATTAATGACTACTCTCTCTTTGTTTTGCATATTACAAAAATCAAAATATTTGTATTGATTTATGTCGATGATATTTTGGTGACCAGCTTTGATGCTTCTGCTATTTCCACATTCATTCATCGTCTGCAAGGCATTTTTCATGTCAAGGATCTTATTTTTTTTATCTTATATTTTAGGTGTGGAGGCTGATAGAAGCTTCGAAGGACTATATTTACATCAAACGAGATACATTTGTGATCTCTTAGATAGGTTTCACATGGTTGGTGCTAAACCACTTGCATCACCTATAGTAGCCACTACCAAACTGTCCAATACAAAAGGGGAACTCATCTCTGATCCTTCTACTTATTGCCAAATCATTAGGACACTTCAATACTGCACCATCACACATCCTGATATTTCTTATGCTTTCAACAAGCTATGTCAGTAAATGCATCAACCAAGAACTCCACACTAATAGGCCATAAAACGAGTCCTTCACTATTTAAAGGACATTGTTAACCATGACTTGTTCTATACACCATCTCCTCTATAATTACACGCCTACTATGACTCGGATTAGGTTGGCAACTTAGATGACAGAAGGTCTACTAGTGGCTATGGTGTTTTTCTTGACCACAACTTAGTTTTTTGAAGCTTTAAGAAATAAAATGTGGTCTCCCATTCGAGTACAGAAGTGGAATATCATTCAATGACACTCATTACGGCTGAAGTCTACTATCTTAGAATGCTCTTCAAAGAATTGGCTATTGGTCTCGTACACACACCGACTATATGGTGCGATAACATTGGGGCCATTGCACTTGCTTCAAATCCGGTATTCCATGCAAGGATGAAGCATGTGAAAATTGACTACCATTTTATTTGAGAGAAAGTTTGTAACAATGATGTTGAAATCCAATATGTCTCCATTGTCGATCAAATAGTGGATGTCTTCACCAAAGGTCAAACTGCACAACGATTTCAATATCTTATGAGCAAATTAACAGTCTATGAAAACCCCATTAATTCAAGGAGGGTTAAACTATCAGAATCTTCAACAGAAAATCCAAAAGCATCTACACCAATTCTTCATCCTATCTATTATATTGTCAATTCAAAATAATCATGCTATTGTGACTTTCATATATTTGTTTACTTTTTTATTATACTTAGATTAGTTTCATTATTACACATTTGCAGTTTCATTATACAACTATAAATATAATGGAAACTATATAGCTTAAGTGTGTTAGCTAAAGACATCTTGTGTATTAATCTTTTTTGTTTGTCTTACAGGTTTTTAATTAAATCATGCGAGTAATTAACTTGTTTAAACTTATTAGATTTTATTAAATTTTTAGTAATTTAATTGATTTAGCTAAATTTATTTAGGTCAATATTAAAAAAAAATCAAGATAAATTTAATTTAACCCAAATCATCAAACTAATTCTACTAAATGAGACAATCTCTGGAACCTAATTAAAAGAAAAATGAATTCTATGGCCAGATAATCTAGGTTACTTCTTGGATAATATGTAACAATTATATTTACCATTATTGAATGCAACTAAAATTAAGTAACGAGTAAGCCACATCATCTTAGGAATGAATAGTAAACTATGCATACTTTACATTGAAAACATAAATTAAATATTATTTAAGTGTTGATAAAACAAATCGAACCACATAGTACTAAGATGATGTTGAATAATTTGGCTGATGATGGACTGTTTAGCTAGTTGATTACATGTTGAATTTAGAGCATCAATGAACAGGGAGAGGTAGTGTTCATAGTAAATGTCATTTTACTTAATGGGCCATGCTTTATATCATATATTATTACGTGTTCCGTTGAGCCCTTAGATTCCTTTATTAAAATTAAGGAAAGTCAAAACACGTGCGAGCAGTAATACCCCAGCTCGAGTTTCTCTTGCATGCGGTGTCCCACACCAAACAAAACTCTATAATATTATTCTCAACAAAAATATTTTTTTGACAAAACGAAAGAAATTTTTGCACCGTAGAAATGTTGTCAAATTGATAACGCTAGATCACCCCAGGAGTGTGTGTGGTTGTGTGCTTTAATTTTTATTTTAATATATATATATATATATATTAAAATGATTTTTTATTTTTTATTAATTTATTAAAATTATAAAAATACTAAAAATACATTAACTTAATTTTTTTAATATAAAATGTATTAAAAAATAAAAATTATTGTAACTTTTTAACTGAAGAAAGGTTATCTTAATTTTTTTTTAAAAGGAAAAATATGATATGATAACACGTGAATTATTATATATATACTATATTTATCAATTTTATTTTATTTTAAAGAAGGAAAAAATTTCTTCTAAATGACCGGTTTTTTTAAAAAAACTCATAAATATTTCAGGGACACAAAACTCATTTTGTTAGAGACTATATATCTTTGAAAAAGAAAAATGAGGAAGCAACATTTTTTTATATCATTATAAGAGAGCAAAGGCTCTGGATTGTTTTAAACATATAATGATATGACGTGGAATTTCGAGTGACATTCAGTGGAGGGTTTAATGAATTATGATGATGGTAATCGACACCAGATCATTCATGCAGCCGAGCCTCATCAAAGCCACCCATTGAGCTCCATGATTTCCACTACTTTACGGCCATGATGTCATCACATGACGACGCGACGACGTCGGAGACATCTAAACAGCCTTTAGATGAATGCCACGTCGTAGAATTATCGACACACCGATCACTCCAAGCTCCCATAGGCCGTATTGCTTTCACGTGAATCCTAGGCGCGTGCTGAACACGGTTACTGCAATCTTCCTAATCTAATCACACAATTTACGTTAGGGTGAGTGTAATGATATGGATTTGTTTATAATTGGAACAAAAAATAAAATAAAATGGAAAATCAGACTGATAAAGTAATTTTAATAGTCTTTTTAAAGATAATAAAGTTATTTAGTTTTTTATTTCTCATCAAGTTCATCTAAAAATATATCATGAGCCATGATAAGTATTAAAACTATGTTATTTAAAACAAGGATAATTTTTTTATAAAATCATTTGATAACAATATCCTATTTTCATCATCTAATGAGAGAATCATTTCCTTCAAATTATATCTACTATTTTCTTCCTATGCATTTTTTTTTAAATAACAATCATGTAGATGTTCTTGTTTAATGAAATATTATGAGTTTTCAATATATTTTTATATCCTTAATTGAGCTAGTTTTATCATAATAAAATGATTGATTTTCTAATCTCTCATTCTATTAATTTCTTTCATATTTTCATCCTAATTAACATAATCTATCATGCATATAATATTATATCTAAAATGATAATCTCGATGAAGGAGGGCACCACAAGAGAGGAGAATGAGAGGGCAAGAGAGGAGGGTTTCAAAGAGGGAGAGAGGTTTGGTTCTTTGTGAATTTCTCAAAACAAATTTTCTTCTCTTTTCTTACAGGGCTGCTTAAGATTATTTATAGTATAATATTAAGTCATGTACATAACTAATTTAATTAATTTAAATAAAAAAGTTAACAGAATAATAAATTGACAAATTATTTATTTTATAAAAATAAAAATAACTTAATTAAAAATATAAAGTAAATTGAAAACTCACAAAACCGTATAAGAAAATATTAAGGACTATTTAAGAACTACTTGAGATTGAGATTATAGTAAAAGTTATTTGTTAAAGTACTTTTCATTTAAATATATATTAAAATAATATTTTTTTTATTATTAATTAATACATCAAAATAATCTAAAAATACATATAAAAAATAACTTAAAAATTAAAAAACACCATGTAACGGCAACGTCAAATTAACACGACAGAAGTCATCTATGCTTGACAAAAAAATTCTATATTCTGGAGGAGGCAATTTGTAGTCGTGCTGTGGGCGCGACTGAGACTAGCATGTCTCGCCCGAACTTTCTTGATTGCATTATTTTGTACTATCCAAACGTCCCCCTTTTCAAGCTTCCAAATTTCTCTCTTATCTCTCTTACCTTTTTCTTTCTCAGAAACCTCCTCTGCAGCCTCAAAGAATTCGTCCTTGGGTTGTCCACAATTATCTTTGTATGTAAATATAGTGCCAATCTTGTGATTTCAAAGCTCATCCATCGATCTCTACAATCATGGATAACAATCATAGTCACTCGGTAGGTGGTGGTGTGCAAGAAAAAAAAGCACACAGAATCGCCGGAACCAAGAAAAAGCCTATGAAAGTAGTTTACATATCCAACCCCATGATGTTCAAGGCTAGTGCATCTGAATTTAGGGCTCTGGTTCAAGAACTCACTGGTCAAGATTCTGAATTGCCAGACCCTAGTAAGTTCGTGGACAGTGATGGCCATGATCGTGATGTCGGTGGAAATTATCAAACGGTACCGAATGCTTCTAAGACTGTTGTTGTTGATGGTGGTCATGCACAAGAAGTTCCCATAGAGGATCCTAGTCAAGAGCAGCCTGAAAGACAAGATGCCCCATTTGAGTCTTTTGATGATGTTTTCATGCCTCAGATGTTAGAGGATATTTCAGAGAAAATGCCATCAAAATTATGGTATGAAGCTTATAACTCATGGATGTACTCTTGAGAAGCCTTGCAATGTAATTTGAGTAAGATCTCTTTGGCTCAGTTTGCTACTACTATTATTTAGGGTATGTTTCTCCCATATTCTACCATAGTAATTAATCACGTGGTTAATCTTTCTCTGTGTAATTAACCTTTTTCTCTGTAGTTTAACATTGAAAAGGGATTGCAACTAGCAGGAGTACTTTTGTGGGGACTTCTAGTTTATTGTTGAAATGCTCATATTAATAACAATTTGCTTTCCTAGCTTTATCTCTACCAGTGCCAATTAGTGAACTTTCAAGTGTTTTTTCGTTTTGAGTAAGATCTTTTACAAGTTTGGTGCTGAGAATTGTAGCAGAAGATCCAAGCTAGGAGTGGTGCAAGAAACAATGTCACGGGACCCAAATTATATAATCTTATAAACAAGCAAAAAATATATATAGAAACAAGCAAAGTACATCACAAGAAAGGGTCCAAGCCAACACTAGCTAGCTAGCAAGCAAAGAAGGCCTAATACTGAAACTAAACGCCATCTAGCTAGAGGTGGTGTGAAAAAGCATGATATATTGGATTTTCAAGTGGTCATTGTCTATAGAAAAAATTAGTGGTTAGCGCGACCTTAGTCAAAAGTTAATGGTTCAAGTTAATTTTCTAAGGCATCCCCAAAAGTAATTAATATTTTCATAGTGGATTAACCTCGTCCTGGTGATGATTAGTGAGGAGAATCAAATAAAACAGCATTAACTGTTCATATAAGATTACACAAAATACTTTACGACTACTTATTGCTTAGAAGTAGCTCAATTTTCTTGCAGTTTAATGATTTATGAAACCTGGATGATTTTGATTGCTAGGCTGGCTGGGCTAAGAGATAGATGTACTATACATCCGCAGGCTGAATTGCCCAGATAATGCGGCACAACAATGCATGGGTTGTTGTTTGCTAGCAGAGCTAGGTTCCCACTTGCAATGTACGATTAGCTTTTGGGATTTATTAGGGCTTGTCTTTTCTCTAACGTAATTTTCCTTGTCTTTTTTTCACATTCTAGGGTTCATTGAATCCATGAGAAAAAGGTTTATTGTTCATCTCTCTGTGTGAAGGATCTGAAGAGACTGAACATATCCACTAGCTTTCTACTCTTCTCTCTTCCACATTAACGGCAGATCACAATTAACAGATGCGCTCTCTCTCACCACTTTAGTGCGTGCATGCATGCTTTCTGAAATATAATTTTTTTGTATCTTGCTCAAGTGTCCTTCACTATTTTTAGCCCATGGCGGGCGAGGGGACATGAAAATATCAGACATCTATAATCTTGGCAAGTTGTACCACCGTACTGTTCTGACCATAAGCGATATTTTTGTTAGCAGTGGACAGGATTCATCGGGGCAAAAAAAAAAAAAAAACCTTATTCAGTCTCATCAGAAATACTAGACCTAGATGGTTTTGAACAGCTTAATCATTTCAAAGAACTTGCATGTAGATAGAGATTCACTTTGGTAGGAAATCTGAGTTTTTTTTTTTAAAAAAAAATTATCCATAGTAAGAAAAGGAATTGAAAAAATAACATAATACTAAAAATATCTTAAAAAATAATATAATTTAATGAGTTATATATTATATATTTGTGGCCCGCAAGTTTCATCTACAACTCGAGATTATATCCACAAAGAGAAAGAGAGAGAGAAATAAGGAAAAATATGTCTAAAATATTTTAAATTATAATTATATTTGATGAAAAAAAATATTTAATAACCATATAGGAGATATATATGAATTATATTTTAAATTATAAATATATATTCAAAAAGATTTAAATCAAAACTTTATATGAGATATATATTAGATATGAGGTATATTAAGCTAGCAATTTTTAACTAGAACAAGGTTTTAAATTAATACACATAGGAAGTGTCATGTCTAAGTTTTTTTCTATATCATACAAAATAACCTTGCAATGCTCTTGCTAGTGTTTCTCACTGCAAGAAGAAAGACATGGCAATGCTATAAATTAAGATTAAAAATTTTGAAAAACTAAGGTGAAAACATTGTTCTCCTAGTTACATTGCATTGTAGACATAAACAATATTTTAACTATCTTATTTTTTTAAAAAAAAAGTTTTTGATGGTTAAGGGTACTATTGTGTTTGCCACAAGACAATTATAATATTTTTTAATTGATTGAAAATAATATGAGTATTTATTTTTTGAATGCACGGTGAAATAACATTAATATCCTTGAAGATGAAAACTTGTTGGGTTACATATAGGGTTCTACTTGTATTTTTATGTAAAAGAGTGTATAGTAGAATAGCAACTTTGCTTTTACCAAAAAAAAAATAACTTAACTTGAAATGAGGGGTTTTTTTTTCTTTTTTGGTTGATTAGCAAAGTAAAAATACACGCTTAACTTTGAAGTTTAATTTTTTATACCTGGGGTCTAAGGACATCTTTGTCATTGTATTTTAAGTGTTTTGTTTTTTGTTATTACTAGGTAAAGTTAAGAGCTATTTGATCTTTAAAAAATTAAAAGTATATAAAAATTAAAAATTTCTCTAGCGTATTAGTCACTTCGTTGTCTTCATGTTATGCGTGCAACTAATTTAAAATGTCAAAAATATCATTTTGGGCCAGTGTTCAGTTTGTCTTGGTATTTTCTTCCTTTTAAGGCGACACGTGCAACGAAATTATCTCTGGCTTGGCTCCAACAAACATTTCTTATTTTTTATTCTTTCTTTTCTTTCTCAGTCTTAGTGTTTTTGCTACCTTGTAATTTTTTTAAATCATCCCTTGAACTTCTCTTTCCTTTTGATTTAGTCCCTGATTTTTTGGTTAATATTTGTTTTATTTGAAATAATTAATAGAATTGGAATTTTGTTTTGATTTCATCATCATTTTTTTTTTTTGTCAAATTTTTCCTCACTATTTTAATTGTTATTTATGTAATCCAATTCCATTTGATTTAGTCCTTGGTTTTTTGGTTAATATAAATAATTTATGAAATTGGAATTTTGTTTTAATTTCATTATATTGTGATTTTTTTATTTGTTAAATTTTATCCTCATTCTTTTAATTTATATTTATGTAATTTGAGATCATTTTTAGAATTAAAGTTTTTTGCAATTTCACCCTCTACTACTACTACTATTACTACTACTACTATTATTATATTTTTTTTCAATTACACCCTCTATCATTATGTACACACTAGTTTAAAGAAGCTACATTGCATTTAGATAATATCATTTCATTTTTTTAATTTGGTTAATTAGGATATTAAAAAAGATCTTATGTAATATAATGATTAGTAAAATTACTTGAATTTGAATCTACTTTATTAAAAAATAAAGTATAGGAATTATATTAGGTAAAATGGCCCTTTTCTATACCAACAACTAAAAGTTATTAATTTCTTGTATATCCATGCTAGAAAATTTTACACTAACAACTTTTGTCCGTGGACAAACATCTTCAAGTTAATTAAGAAATTATTTTAAAAAAACTATAACATAAATGCTAAATTAATTTTCATTCAATCTCTTTTGTTTAAAAGCTACAATCCATTGAAATCTTGCATTGCACACCTCGATTGAGCAATTCAAAATTCAAAATATGTTAAAGAATCATTTTAACTCCATTATTTAAGTTGTTAGGTGAGGTCACAAAATATAATTTATATTATTCTCTAATACACTTCCTTAAATAAAAGTTCTTTGGGTTTAAAACTCGTACAGACTCATTTTATCTTTTGTTTAATTTTTCTCAAATAAATAAGAAGGATGAGATTCGAACTTGTGACCGTTTGGTCATCAAGATTCTGATACAATGTTAAAAAATTATTTTAAGCCAATAGTTTAAACTATTAAATGGAGTTTTAAGATATAATTTATATTATTTTCTAATAAAATTTAATATTTTTTTAAACATTGAAAAAATTTAAACAGTAAACACCAAAAAAAGTCGTCCAATCATATTGTTAGTTTCAAGGCTATTACACATGTATAGAGATTGAAAAGTGCTTGTTGCAGAAGTTTAGTCTTCAATGCACTTGGTTGGGCGACTCCTTTTTTCTCGAATACCTTTTGCTAATTATTGTGTTTGTGTTTGGTGGTGTGCCACCATTAATTTAAAAAAAAAAAACAACAACAGTAAAAGTTTGTTTTTATGCTATTAAGAATTATTATTTAATAGCAAACACAAACTCAACCACTTAACCCAAATGAACTCTTTTTCTTATTATCGTGATATTTTTTATCAGTTTTTATATGTCATGTCTCTCTTTGGCATATACGTTTTCAAAGTTATTAAACTTTGTTCAATGCTAGGGTTATGAGTTTAAGTTATCTTATATATGGATTGTAATTTATTTAAAATTGTTTTATTAAAAAAAATTTAAATACATTAAAATCACATATCTTTTCTAAGTTTGGTCATCTCTTTATCCTTTCAATTTCAGTTCTTAAACTCATCAATCAATCCTTTCATTTATGTGGTAGACCTACATTTAAAATGAATATTTACCACAAATTAAAGGTATCTTATATTATTAGATATATTATTATAAAACATGATTTAGTTAAGGAATTATTGATACTTCAAGTGCAAAATGATGATATAAAATCTTGATACAAATGCACTTTTAATTACTAATCTAGGGTACAATAAAATCCCCTCATGGGATCATAATAATCTAATGAAAATTAAACAAAATAAATCATAAATTTTAATTCATAATCAAATCGATATTAAAAGAAAAAATTGAAAGAAAAAACTACTTAAAAAAAATCTGAATCAACTGATTTAACCCGTCAAACCCGGGATTCGTGTCATGAATTAGAAAAAAACATATTGATGTCTTTTAGTTATAGTTAATTACAATATTTAAATATAAAATTGGAAGAAAAAAACTAACAAAGAAAGAAAAAAATTGAATCACCTGGGTTAGCCCATCAAACCAGGTTAACCCGTCAAACCTGAGATTTGTGTCATGAGAATGTGATAACTAAATAGAAAAAAATTAACATTAATAAACTAAATTAAAAAAAGATTAATTAGAAAAAAAAGGGAAAAAAACTACAGGATGAAACAAAAACTAGTGAAGAAAAAGAAAAAAAATCTGAATTAACTGGATTGGCCCGTTAAACCAGGTTAATTTGTCTAATCTGGGATTCGTGTTATGAAAGTTTGATAACTAAATAGAAAAAAAGTTAATATTAACAAACTAAATTAAAAAAATTGAAAAAAAAAAGGAAAAAGGAAAAAAAAAATATTAATTTTTGTTTAAAAAAGAAAAAAAGCCTATATGAAGAAATAGAAAAAAAAAATCTGAATTAACTCAGTTAACCCTTCAAACAAAGTTAACCAGAATTAGCTGGGTTAACCCGTCAAACCTAGGACTTGTGTTATGAAAGTTTGATAACTAAATAGAAAAAAATTAACATTAATAAACTAAATTAAATGAAAAAATTAATTAAAAAGAAAAACCAGAAAAAAAAATCCAGGTTAACATGTTAAATCCAGAATTCGTGTCATGAAAATTTCATAACTAAATAAAAAAATTTAATATTAACAAACTAAATTAAATAAAAAAATATTCATTAAAAGGAACAAAAATAAAAATAAAATTGCCTAGCCTTTTCACTGTGGGTTAATTATAATATTAAAAGATAAAATTGGAAGGAAAAAACTAATAAAGAAAAAAAAAACATTTTGAATCAAATGGGTTAACTCACCAAATCAGGTTAACCTGTCAAACTTGAGATTCGTATAATAAGAGAGTATGATAACTAAATAAAAAAATATTAATATTAATAAACTAAATTAAACCAAAAAAAGATCAATTAAAAAGAAAAAAAGAGAAAAAAACCTACATGAAGAAAAAAACTAATAAAAAAAAAGAAAAAAATCTGAATTAACTAAGTTTAACTGGTCAAACTTAGGATCCATGTTATGAAAGTTTAATAACTAAATAAAAAAAATTTAATATTAATAAACTAAATTTAAAAAAAATTAAAAAGAAAAAAACCAAAAAGCCAATAAAAAAACACTACTAAAAAAAAATATTTAATTTAAAAGAAACAAACAAAGAAAAAAAAGCCTAGAAAAAAAAAACTAATGAAGAAAAAGAA